ACATCTGACTTCCACCTCTTTCCAACCATGAAGTCATTTTTTAAGGGAAAACGTTTCAAAGATGATGAAACACTGATTTCTAAAGTCAAGTCCTGGTTTGAGACGCACAATGAGGGCTTTTACAAGCCAGGTCTCAATAGTTGAATAAAACGATGGGAGAAGTGTGTAACTCTTGGTGGTTCCTATGTGGAGAAAGAATAATACCTATGCCAAGTTTCATTCCACTAGGTACATCGGAAGTGGGTCGGGCGAAATCTTTAATGAACACCCCTCGTACATCTATGAAATATTAAAGTATTATAGTTATTAAATTTGTTAAATGTAAAGTACTTTTGTTCAAATATACTGTACTTCAGCATCTAATACATTACTGCTGTGATTACGGTATACGTATTTCTGTGTTTTTCTTGTAATTTGAGAGTCCCGGTATAACAATATCCCGTGTTTACTGTAGCGTGACCAGTCTTACTGTAGCTTCACGAAAGCGAAGAGATTTTAGAGTTGATTATGGCCATGTTTCGCTCTTCCGGCCCAGAACCGGCAAGTCAGCGAATTTCATGTACAAGTTATGATATCACGTCCTCAAGGAAGCGCTATAATGAAGCGCCTCATTTATAGATGCTCGTTATAACATTTAATCAATTAAGACGGTTTATAAGTATGGAAAAACACTTGCCTTCGGTTTTGGTAGACAGAGCATGCCCTGGGAGCTTCGCCCCATTGGTTTTTCCCTCTCCCCAGGGCATGCTCTGTCTACCAAAACCGAAGGAAAGTGTTTTCTCAAATACTTAATGAGATTGACAAAATTGTGTCTTTTAACCAATCAAAACTGAATATTGTGTTTATCTTAAGAGCCAAGTTAATAAAATGGCAATTGTAAAACTGGGTATTAAAATTAGGTTCGAAAGAGAACCACTTCAAAACCTGGCCTTGGAAGATGAGCTGTTACTAAGTTTACCCGAGGTGTCAGGAACCTGATGCAATATAGGGTAACACAATGTAGGTTTAAAAATTTAAGTCAAACGTTCCCTGCAGCATTTTTATTTTGAAAAACGAGACTGATATATATGAATAGAACAAAGTGAAATTTAGTTATGGAGGGTTGCAAAAAGATCCTGAGCAATTACTAAAAATAATTTCTGTAAGGAAACCTGGATAATGATAAAAAAAACCGCCATTCAGAGTATCATGCACCTACATTGACACCTTTCATTGATCTAATAATAGTCTTACAACAGACTTACACAGGTGTAGTATTATCAATTCCTTGTGTATTCCTTGAAAGAACATGAACCATATGGGATGTCGCAGGGGTACAATCCATATAACTATTTAAGAATAAATTATGTGACTACAGTTATGGTATGACAATTTTCTCTTCAATTGTGATAAATAAATTTTCTTTTTTTAATACATACACGCGTGCGTGCGTGCGTGCGCGCGTGCGTGAGTGCGTGCCGATACTAGTTTGGACTGATGCCGGTGATATTGCTACCCCACTGGGATATGGTGTCTCAGTTTTACATGGATACCACACACCAACATGTTATACTGGCTTCGAGTCGACCAGTCCTTGTTTAATCTCCTTAATGCCGAATGTCAGGCGGTGTAATAATAAATACTAGGGATGTGCGGTTTTATCGGTATACCGGTATATTGCAATACAAATTCATCACGATACGTATCGCGATACGTTTTTGGCGTATCGGTTTTTCTCTCATTATTCAAACTGTGACTGACATGTATATGCCATGATGTATAATCTTACCTTATTAAATCAAAAGAAAGACAAAACAAATGCTTCATACCCTTTTTTTGATTGTAGATAAAAATAATAGTACAATTTTTTAAAATTGGTTCATAATTTTGACCAAATTGTTAACATTGCAGCTTTCATATTAATATTTGTCAAGGGATATAAAAAAAGCTTTTCTCTTGGTAGAAAATTATTTCCCAATATATTGCAATAATATTGCGTTATGTAAAAGGGGAAAGCTAGATATTTAAGACGACTTCTAAGAAAAGAAGCGCATCCGCTTTCGGTTTCCTTTCTTGGAAATATGGAGGTCAGTTTGGTTATGACACGCTACAGTCAGGAAGTTAATTCAAGGTACCGACGTTTACTACAATATCTGAAAAACTATTGGACCTACACCAGTCAAAGTTGGTATGTCAATGAGATTATTAAACAGTCATACATAACAAGATATTACATTTAATGACGATCGGTGCATGAATATAAAATCTGTCTATTTATCTATCACTACATTTCATCAACAACCAGACCTGTACGTCACGGGTGGAACGAGCATTCATTGTAACAGCCATCTGCATTATGCTACCCCTGCGTCACAGGGCCATATACCACAGTTGAACCAATCGAAAGGTTGCACGTGAATCACGCACGCACGAATACGGTGTTAGCGTCAGGCAGTTATTTAAGATATTTATCCAATTATTTTTGCATTCTTTTTCAGGTCAGTGTTATTGACTTGAATGTATCATTCCTTGCCACATTATTATATTTCATGCATCATGTTATAAGGTGTAATATATCATACGTAATTATTCATTTAGACAAATCATTGCTTTATTGTTTCGAAGAAAATATTTTCATATTTTCGTAGATGATTCGAGACTTTCGGGGCTGTTTCGGGTGAAAGAGAATCAAATTCTGAGCCAAGAATTGCACAAAGTGGACAAGATCCGATTACGACATGTACTACAAAGCACGAACCTGAAATTCGTAGAAGATTCCTGGAAATTCTTTGATAAACAATTTTTTTCTCACGAATCCCATGAAGTAAAAGACTGTTTGGAAATCAAATAAGATATATTTAAGATTCTTAAGAAATGATTAAGAATATGAACGAATATGTAAGAATTCATATCCGTGGTTATTCGGGCTAGTACATGTCGTAGTGAAACAGGGGTATATGTATTGCACTATTTTTGGTCCCACGAAATGCCCTCGTCATCAGGGTCGGAGTCTGTGCTGTCACCTAAATGAACAACAATAGGCTGGACAGTATCTAGTCGGATACAGTCTTGTTTCCAATACTCTTCCTCAACTTTGATAACATGATTGACACAGTTTGCCCAGCGTACATCTATAATTTCTCCCATACCTTTCAAGACAATCTGCGTGACGTCGGCAAGCCTGATGAAGGTCTTATTTTGCCGTGCCACCATATTTTTCAAATCACCCCAGATTAGTTCGATGGGATTCAAGTCACAGTGGTAAGGAGGAAGTCTAAGCACTTCGTGCACGTGTTCTCTCAACATGTTGTCAATCAAATAAGAGCGCGGGGGGTTGTTTTGAAGAACCAGTTGGTAGTAGTCAGTTGTTTTGGCTTTCGTGGACTGAGCAATCCGGTTGTTGTCCAACCACTGACATATCTCACCTTTGGTGGAATTTGAGGTTTGACAACGGTTAATAGGATCTCGACAACTGTGATAGGGAGCACTGTCCATAACCACCAAGGATTTATCAGTCGGTGCTAAGAGGAGCTGCTCCTCAACATACACAGTGAAAACCTGACTATTCATTTCGATATGGTAGTCTCTGCCATCTGCAGATCACACCCAGGGAGGAAACCACTGTGGGAGCCTGCATGTAGGACAATCAGGGTCATAGCCTTCTTCTCGTTTCTTTTTAATAGTGCGCAAATAATTGATACGCAAACGAATGATATCTGGTCGTTCACACATTGCTAGTTTCGACCCTATCGTCTTTTTGAACTGACATCTAAATTTGGAAAGGAGTTTACAAATGGTCCATTTGGAAATATCTAAGTCATGCTCTGTAAGGAGAATTTGTTTTAGTTTTCGTGTTGAAATAAATTTATTTTCTCGTGTTAACCGCCGAATCACGTCCCTGACAACTTTCTTATCAAAGGAATCTAACTTTAATTTCCTATCCTGTTTTTTAGATGCCCCCTAAGGGATGTGCAGGGGAGCATGTGTTTTTATGAGAGTTCAAAATCTTAACTACGGTTTGTTTGGGAAGCTGTAACGCATGAATTGTTCTTTTCATGTACATTGAAATGTCAAAGAAGGGCGTACGTCTTTCACTTTCAGCCTTAAAGTATTCAAATATTTTAACAATGAAACCTTTCCCTTCGCATCAGCGGAAAGACCCGTGAAGATCCGGAGTAGAATAGATCTTCAGCAACCCATGCTTGCCGTAAAAGGCGACTATGCTTGTCGTGAAAGTCGACTAACGGGATCGGGTGGTCAGGCTCCCTGACTTGGTTTGATGCATGTCATCGATCCCAATTGCGTGGATCGATACTCATGATATTAATTATTGGATTGTCTGGTCCAGACTCGATTATTTACAGACCGCTGTCATAAAGCTGGAATATTGCTGAGTGTGGCGTTAAACAACAAACCTACCAACCAACCATCAGCGGAAAGATGCTTGCGCTGAGACATCATGAAATCTAATGTTAACACTGTATTCGTGCGTGCGTGATTCCCGTGCAACCTTTCGAGTTGAGTTGATTGGTTCAACTTTGGCATTTGGCCCTGTGATGCAGGGTTAGCATTGTGCATGTGGCTGTTACAATGAATGCTCGTTCCACCCGTGACGTACAGGTCTGGTTGTTGATGAAATATAGTGAAATAGACATATTTTTTATTCATGCACCGATTGTCTTTAAATGTAATATCCAGTTATGTCATACCAACTTTGACTGGAGTAGGTCCAAAATTCTTTTAGATATTGTAGTAAACGTCGGTATCTTAAATTAACTTCCAGACTATAATTAAGTTTACTGACAAAGGCGAACTACTCTTATCTATTACACACTTATCTGTTTTTAATATCTGATTAATATCCTGTTCATTACAAACATTAACCTGAACACCACACAATGTAATAGGGCATACTCCTTGTGCTAGAGGTGGGTGGGAGCGGTGATTACGCGACACCATGATGGTGCGGCAATGTCATCAGGACAAGTTGATCTTACATCTAATACTGGCTATATACTTACATCTGAAGACATTTTGCGAAGCACCAGCTGATAGATTTATGTTGGTCCTTGATAACAGTGTTTCCTGTAATATCGGCGAGCCGTCTTGTTCCGTGATTTACACAAGTAGTGTCAAGCTGCAAGTTGCCTCCCAGTCGATGAAAGTCACATGACACATCACACATTGACCTAACCTCAATCCAACAGCTGTTATCTATCGTTTTTTAATTTGTTTTAATTCTGTTACAATGGCAGAGTGACAAATGACAGCAAGATACATTCACTATAGCAGTATAGTCGTCGTCGTTGTTGTTTGTTGTTGCTTTAAGTATTTAAAGAGTCTCCTTTTGTCTCACCAATTTCGGTTGACCTGTACTGCGCTGGGACTCAAAAGGTAAGTTGTCCTGTAGATTTTACGACCGCTTCAGACTTAGTCTGTTTCGGAGGCAAGCTTGGGTCAATTGGGAGATAATGTTATGGATGATATCAGGGCATGGTTTTGCGTGTGTCTGTGTCTACTTCTTACCATGACAATAAACACTAATACAAATTTTGTTTTCATTTATGTAAATACTAAACAAAGCGGCAACAGAAAGTAAAGGTTGGCAATTTAAAATTGTCCTAAAGACAGCGTTAACTAGTGGAAAGTGGGTATTGGGAATATAACTGGAACAGGTACCAAAAACACATCACCCGAACGCGCCACCTTTGACGGCGCTCGTGCGGTGACAAAAATATGTTGAAACAGGTTTTCCGCCTATGGCATAAACTGCACGTGCATGTTAGCTGTATAAATGCGTTCTTCTGCAGGGTATAACCACACGTGATGAAAGCACACAAAAGAAATGCCACGACTGTCACAGGAGCAGAGAGAGAGAGCCATCGGTATGACCGAAATGGGGGCAACACATGTCCAAATTGCCAGAAAGTTTGGTTGTACACCATTGACAGTAGCCAGGCTGATTCAACGGTACAGGCAGGCAGGGAGGACACAGGACAGGACTAGAACCGGACGACCCCGAGTGACAACACCACTGGGAGACGGTCAGATACGGCTCATTCACGTGCGAAATAGATTCGTAACGGCGACGGCAGCAACAGCTTTGGGACATCCCATTAGCCAACGTACAGTACTACGACGACTTCGTGCTGCTGGAATCCGAGCGTATCGTCCTTTCCGAGGAATGGTACTGACTGCTCAACATCGACGCCTGAGACTGCGATGGGCGAGGCAGGTTCGACGCTGGCAAGTGGCGTCGAGTGCACTTTACTGTTAAAAGTCGGTTTAACTTGTTTCGAAATGACGGCAGAGAACGAGTTTATCGACGCAACGTTTGGCTCCGGCGTGTATTCGAGAGGTCCATCGGCGGGGGGTAGGGGTTGTCATAGTGCGGGGCGGTATTTGTAGATATCAGAAGACTGATTTGGTGATTATTCAGGGAAATATGAACGCTGTGCAGTACAGAGACCAAGTGTTGCAGCCAATTGTCCTTCCGTTCTTACAAAACCAACAGCAGGGGACATCGTTTCAACACGACTATGCCAGGCCCCATACTGCAAGACTGATTTGGAAATTTCTAAACCAGCAGAACATTGACGTTTTGCCCTGGCCTGCCCACTCACTCGATATGAATCCTATTGAACATCTGTGGGACCATCTTGACAGACAGATTAGAGCACGCCATCAGCCTCCCATCAACAGACAAGAATCGCAGCAGGCCCTGAGACGAGTGGCAACGGATTCCAGTCCACGTCATCAGAAGACTGACGTCATCGATGAGGCGGCGTATTACCGCATGCGTTGAGGCAGCTGGAGGTCATACACGCTATTGAAAGCAACTGTGTCGACAATGAACTTGTAGTGTGTCTGACAATTTTTGGGTGACATTTCAGACAACTTTTAAAAATGAAAATTCTTACCCCACCATTGTTTACCTTGAGCTTACATTACCTGTGACCGGTGGGGAGGAAGGGTGTGTGTGTGTGTGTATATAATCAGTTATTTGATAATTCACCACCCAACACATGTAAGGTGCCATAAGATCAGAATATCATATGAGGCAATGATGCATGTTTCCCAATTACGACAAACATCGAATGGATTCAGACAAAATTCAATGTATATACATCAGGGAATCAAGCTACATATGACGGTGGATATGACACCTACTTCATCTTGTTTGTTTGTTGTTTAACCCCGCACTCAGCAACATTCCAGCTATATGGCGGCGGTCTGGAAATCATCGAGTCTGGACCAGACAATCCAGTGCTTGACATCATGAGCATCAATCCACGCAATTTGGATACGATGACATGCATCAACCAAGTTTACGAGCCTGACTACCCGATCCCGTTAGTCGCATCTTACGACAAGCATAGTCGCCTTAAATGGGTTGCTGAAGACCCATTCTACCCAGGATCTTCACAGATCTCAATCGTAATGTTTCGAGGGAAAACTAGATATTCAAGACCGCTTTTACGTAAAGTAGAACATCTACTTTCGCTTACATTTCTGGGAAATATGGAACACAGCTTGGCTCTCTGGCCTAACACAACAGCTTAAAGTTAGTTTGTGACAGTTTGAAGTGATTATGATATCTGATATTGCAAGATCGATACCCAGCTGTGGGTATTAATACATGTATCTGAATCACCACACATTTTAAAAAGGCATGTTTCCGTGCTGGAGGCAGATGTATTCGACGATCCCGCGAGACACTGAGGTACCATTGTGCCAAAGTGAACAGGAAATTCTTCACCTAACGCAAGTAGTAATCACACTAGAAGACATACTACGAAACACGAGTTGGTAGTTCGATGTTGGTCCTATAAAGATAGCGTTTGCTGTGTTCTCTGTGCACTGGCTTTTTACCGTAAGAGGTTAGGTATGCGATCACTTTAGTTATTGATAATCTTGTTTTTCGCTTTCAGATATGTGCGTCCTGCACCTGTGTATAGCACCCGATCCTGTCAGTCGCCGATAACGGCAAGCATTGGTTGTGAAGACCTATTCTACCCACACTCTTACTTACTGCTTTGTAATATTCTCAACCAGTTTAACAACGCATCTGTGATATTCTAGTTATTGAACTGTCCATCGTTTGACAGGTTTTCATTTAATCCAAATTTATGTATTATTAATGTATAACTTCTCGTCACGATATGGCTGAAATACTGCCGATGTGACGTTACATACATACTCACTCACTCACTCACTCTACCCCGGTCCCTAAAGGGTCCCTACTTCATTAATTAAATAGAGAACTCTAGTTTGCCTTTCTCCATGAACACTCTTATGCAAAGTGTGTATTATTAATGTATAACTTCTTCTGCCGATGTGACGTTAAACACTTACTCACTCACTCACTCAAAACAGCGGTGACAATTTGAATGGATAACTAAAAGTGATGACACCAGGTGTTCGCGAAAAGGGGAAGTATGTCCTACCGGTAGCATTTAGGCAGTAACATGTTTCGGTGGACTCATCGCACTGGGAAAACAGCGGATACACACGGAAAGACAGAATGCAGAGACTTTTTTATGCAGGTCGGCCTGTTGTTACTCCAGGCAAGTACCTTTTTAACATCGGAGTATGTGACAAAAGGCAAAAGAGAATTGCTGTGAGGGACCATTTCAAAACATATTTGCTTAGATAATTATTTGTAGTTTCACTATTGCTTGTATTAAAAGTAAACTAAAACTAAAATCTTAATAAACATTATTATAAATTGTAGAACTTGTTTAACATACATCTACACATAAGATCCGTGAAGATCCGGGGTAGAATAGGTCTTCATCAACCCATGCTTGCCGTAAAAGGCGACTATGCTTGTCGAGGCGACTAACGGGATCGGGTGGTCAGGCTCGCTGACTTGGTTAATGCATGTCATCGATCCAAATTGCATGGATTGATGCTAATGATGTCAAGCACTGGATCGTCTTGTCCAGCCTCGATTATTTACAGACCGCCATTATATAGTGAGTGAGTGAGTTGTGTTTAACGCCGCTTCTAACAGTATTCCAGTTATATCGCGGCGTGTCAGCTTCATGTGGGAGGAAAGCCCGAAGTGATGCAGGTCTCAGACGTTTATCACTTCGGTGAAACTCACGAGCACGGGTATGGTGCTGACAAACCTAGAAACATAATCGGGGCGAACCGGGATTCGAACCCACAATCATAGTTTTCTGGCGTGTCCACGGGACGCAACTCTGCACAGCGAATCGCGGCGCCTTAGACGACTGGGCCATCCATGTCCCTTTTTGGTACACACATCAACCCCCACCCCCACCCACACCTCTCCCTCCCTCCCCATTATATAGCTGGAATATTGCTGAGTGCAACAACAACAACCAACACATAAACAAATGTATAAAATAACAAATGTTGTTTTGCTACATACGTTATGCGGGGCTCGTCTGGCATCAGCTCTTCTCCATATATCCTGTGTGAAGTGGGAGAAGCAACATGTCCACTCACACGGGAATATGGTCATGAAAACATTTTGGCCATCGTCTTCAAAGTCCATCTGCAAATAAAAACATCGATACTTAATTAAAAAGTACGTCGCACGTTTATCCATTTGCAATATTAATGAAAGGTTTACTACCAAATGAATAACAGCACATCAGGTTTAATTGAATTCAATCCTGGAAGGTTTGGAGCGAAAGCTGTTATCCTCTCACAGTAACAGCATCTGGAAATCTGGAACATCCTGTCGTACGTAGTATGCTCTTTGTTGGGAAGGAGGGAAGATACGTGACGGAACATCTCTCTGTCCACAAATGTGTGAATGATGAACAGTTGAAGGAACATTATAATTGGCACCCCTGCTGTTCCATCGCTATAAATTACCTCAGCGTCGCAGAGATGACGAATGATGTCTGATGCGAATCCTATTTGTCTTAGTCACCATCGTCTATAAGCATAAGACCATCACCACCCTCTGTCTTGCAGAGCTGGTCTGTAGATCTAAGTAGTGTCTAGTGGTGGGTCACTGTGGAAACATCTTCTTTTTGGCTCGGTAGAGGGTGTAGATGTGAAATGTTGGCATGGCCTCCTCACTCCACTCTCTCCCTCGCAATTTGTTTGACCTCTTCTCGGTAAAGGGATGGCAAAGACGTGGTTGTTGTTGCAGCCCAATTCTTTATGATATCCATGGTTACCTGCACCTAAAACATTAAATTGCGTGGTTAGCTTTTTTCAATATAACCATTTTTGTCATTATTTTATTTAC